ATCCTTGCTTAGCACCTTCCCCTGTCCTGTCCTGCTTTCCTCATTCCCCCTTTTCCCGAGAGCAATCCTCAATTATTTACAAGTGTCAGCATCCCTGTCTCAGGCTCTGCTTCTGAAGAACCCAGCCTAGGACACCTAGTAAGCTCCTCAGACTCGCTGTGTTTTGCAGATAGATCTCTTGCACTATTAATTATTAATTAAATAATTACTTAAATGATAAAATTAATAAAAATAATAATGCAGCAATCCACCCTCTGATCTCTGGGAGGGACCGAAGTTCTGTTAGGTGTCAAACACAGTTCCTCCTAGATGCCCCCTCCAGGGGTTCATTCGTACTGTTCTAACCACAGCTTTGTTGGCACAAATCAAAGTATGTGAAGGTGTTGTTCTGTGTGATCCTTGTGCAGCTGAGATGGTCTGGAGTGCAATGAGGCCCATGATAGGATCTGGGTCAGTGCAAGGGGATGTGAGAAAAGGATCTGAGGGAGAAAAATCCAGAGAAATAGAGCCACATGGGCTCAGCTCCTTCATTTATCCCTTGTGTAAACAGGTGACTCCCCAAGCCACAGTCTCCTCTTCTGCAAAATAGGTATGGTAGTCACAGTCCACCCTGTTCCCAATGTTTCTATGAGGAGCCAATGAGAGAATGCACATGAACACGCTCTTCTTACCATTAGCATCACTTTGAAGAACTTAGTATGTTCTAGAAATGTTACCAAGTGCTCTGGGGACACAAAACTAATTAGACATGGTCCACGTCCTGAAGGAGTTAATGTGACTTCAGTGGAGGAGCTGATATAACCACAGGAACCAGAAGGCTCTGAATGTGAGGGGGTGGCAGGTGGGAGAGGTCACCAGCTCCTGCTGTGGGAGTCAGGATGTAAACTCCAGGGGTTGTGAGGAGGGGAGGAGCAGGTAGAGATGGGCAGACTTGAGGGTGGGGGTCTGGAAATGCTCCACCCACCACAAAGTCTAGAGCTGGTGCTACTCCTCTACCAGGCACAGCAGTCCTGTGGACTCAGGTGCTCAGACTCTGCAATCTTGAACCCTGGCTCCTCTACTCACTAGCCAGGTGCCCC